AAACAAACTAATGGGGTTCAGTATGATGAGACGGACAATGTTTACCATGCTTCAGACAATAAGTGGAATTAGTTTCTAAATGTGATATTTATTACTCGTGTATGTATCGCTTTACTACACCTATGTTTCAATTGCAAGGTAAACTAAAATTTTCATTTTCATGTAGTGGGATGGATTTTTTGTAGCTTACATGAAGGAAGGTGATCCACAGTATCAAAAAATTGTCGAGTTGTTTCACGTAGAGCCGTCGTACATACCTCCTTTCGAGTTTGTTATTTTGTCTAACAGTGACAATGAAATCAATAAGAATGGAAAAAATGTCTGCGACAAAGTATTGAAATTATAGATGTGGAGGACTACACTGCAAAGTCTGCCCCAATGAGTAGGTTAGTGTCGTACCCCATTCGAACGAACATTCCACATAAATAACAACCACCGCGACCGGCCTTCTATATGGGTAGTACTTCAAAGGCCCCAAAACAAAAGCGTTCCACACATAGTCAGACTGGTTCAACTAAAGGATCTGTCAATCAACCAACAAACTACAACTCCTCTCTGAGTTGTGTCAACGAAGCGGAAGCAAATTCGGCGTCAACTGCATGTTCTGCCACCCCTATGGATTTCACGCCTGATTGGCCGTGGTATTAGATTCTCTGTCAAAGAAATTGTTGTTTGTATGTTTGTTCTTGTTTATTACTTAATGTTGTCATGATTTTCATGTTTATGTTTCAAGCACGTAGTAGGTTGTGTTTTAATGCAGGTGTGAACGTCCTGGTCCGGTTTGGGGTAGATTGATTCTTGTCCTCACCGGTAGAACGCCGGAAACCTGCAAACAACTCTCACACCGGGGGTTGTCTCCGGTGAAGAGCCTCTGATGCTTAAGTCAGTATGTGTTTGAGTATACTGAAGTGAATAATAGAGAAATCGTGTTGAAGAAGAAAGGCTCACCCCTTTTATATAGGGGTGAGATACCTGATCTAGAGCTGCCCGGATTTGGTGAGCTGTCTGCCCTAACTGCCTGTCCATACACACAATATGCGTGTGTCAGAGGTAGCCGTCGCCACTATCGTTTGCACCAATACTCTTTGGACGTGTGTCCTCCTGCACATGGGGTACGCTGTCAGAGGTGGTTGTCGCTGTCAACCAATAAGTCCTCGACACGTGTCCTCCTGCACATGGGATAAATATTCTTCTGAAATTCCGTTAGAGGCTCTCACACGCGCCTGTGACTAGGTCGATCCATTAGAGTGTCAGGTCAGCAAGGTAATCGACCTACTGAGGTCGACTGAGTTTGCTCGATTACTCATTTGGTCGAGTGATGGGTTGGTCGAGTACTTGACTGGTCGACAGGTTAGCTGCTCGATCTTCCTGCCACTTGGTTTGGTTCCTTCATAATATGACCTCCTTGTTCGGTTCAGCAGGCCGGTCTAGCCTGGTAGGTATAATATCCTATATCATGTTTGGGTTCTGTAGTTGTTTGACGAGACCTTTTGTTATGTTAGGCGTTGCAGTTTTAAGGCGTAGTAGGTTGTGTTTAGATTTTGTATTAGGTTGCAATTTTAAGTCATATTTTGCACCAAGTTTGGATTAAAGACATACAATAATTACAAGAACAAAAATGTTCAGCACATTTACAGACACCAAACATGACACATGATAAAGTATACTTCACGCATGAAAAAGTGTATAAACATGGTAAAGTCTCTGTAGAAACCGAAAGATTCAAAAGAAAGCTAAGATTTCTCCAGTCCAGAATCCTAGAAACCCATAATCATCGACCAACTACCATGTTCTTATCACAAGTTGATGCCAAAAGAAAAGCAACACAACTCAATTCTCATCATTAGCCAAAGTAAACACTCTGTATGCTCCAACACAAATATGAAACATGTGTTCCAGGCAAACCAAATTAAACACTATGTTTTACAAAACAACAACTAGTAATGAATAATAAATCTTAAGTATTTCTAATGCGTTCCCTCTAAGTATCACAGAAAAAAAATGTTAAACCGCTGCCCCACCTATCATATATGAGTCAAAAAACAGTACATGATCCAAAATCAAGCTGAAGTAATGTGAAGATGAAAAAACATCACCACCAACATCAACATAATTACAACAACAGGATGAATTTACACAAACATATGGAGACATGAGCTATACATTAACTATCCTAAAATCTTCATTCTTTACAACAATAGAAACCTATATTGTAAAAAGGAACAATTGTTCAAGATACAAGCCGAGCACAAGCCATTTTACTAAGGCTAAGAAAGCACAATGGGTGACCACTAACCCTCAACAATTATCTGAACAAAAAATGCATAGAAGACCCATTTCTTCTTTCTCTGTACTTAACCATTAAAATCTCAATTCAAGCAACATGGTCACCTAAGAAATGAAACACTACCTTGGCTTAAAACACACATATTAACAACTATAATGCATACTAGGTGGCAGCAAGAATGGATAAAACAACACCAACAAATATAGCATAACATGCCTTCACTCCTTCATTCAATTTATCATTCATCAATTCTCATGCTAAGGCCAATTAATACTTAACTTCAGGCTCTGAAAGGACTCTTTTTTAGCAACAAACTACTAAAGAACAAGGTCTGAGATAAAGCTAATGTTAATCCAACCAATACCACAAAAACACCTGCAATTCAGAACCCAATCAATTAATATTTTCAATAAGCATGACCGATATCACAAAACCTACCAAATGTGCAACCATTAACAAAAAACTGATATTTCAACACCTCGGCAGAAAAAAAAGACTGAGATAAAAAAATTGTAGGGTTTGTGAAAAAAATAAAAATTCAATTAGCAAACCACGAATCCGACTTAAGTGACAACAATAGCTATGAGAACCATTACATACAGACATAACAAGTACAATCATGGTAGTCATTGTTGGAGTAGTATACCCGGCGTTCCAATCAGATTGGACGTATTCTACTTGTAAATATAATCTATTGGAATTATATTAAATAATAAGGCATTACTTTATTTTAAGAGTA